AAATGTTGCATCTGAAGAAGTGAGGTTCTTACCCATGAAAGCTTATGCTCCCAATACTTCTGTTAGTCTTCAAGGTGCCACAGGACCCTCTGTTGCTTTTTATCTTTGCTGTGTGTGTGTATAAAATAAAAATGATGGCTGTAACATTAAAGTACATAACTCAACAAAACCAAATATATTCAGAGACCATCTGTTTTGCACATGGCATCTCATGCCTCAAGTATAACCTTCAATGTATAGCACTCTATTGAAAGCATTTTTTTGATCCTGCATCAGGCATCCACAGGGCAGTAACAGGGTTAACATTTCTAGCTGAGATGAGCACTCTAGATGTTGCTAACTACATTTTTGTTATTGAAATTCATTCTGCTAAGCAAAGTTCCTCTGCAGACAGACTCTGAATGTGCAACTCAGACAGAGATTTGACAATGAAGTTAGAGTCTAGTTTATTAATGCAGCCAGCTTTAATTTCCTTCTCAGAAACACACATTTCTCGACATTTGATCAGTGTCTAATTTATATTCCAAACTGCCGTCTAGAAGGCACAGTAGATTAGCTTCCCTTCTGACTTGATCAAAGGACACCAGGTTGGTGCCTCTAAAAAGATCTTTCATGGCACATGTAAAAGTTTAGGTTAATTTCTCCTCCACTGTCTCTTATGCTGAGACTATCTCAATAACATGTTATATTAACAGTGCTGATAACTTTGACCATCCCTGATACCATCTTTCATTTTCATCTAGACAATTCTGATTTTCTTGCATTTTTAATATAAAACATTTTGAGCTGGAATGTACCAGATTGAGACCTAATTCCCAGGACCCGAGAGATACATCATTTGGGGATTCTAATTAAACCTTTTCATTGTCTTTCCTGAGAGGCAGAGAGACCCTATCGGCATGTGTAGAATTTGTGTTCCTACAGCTTGGTTGCTGCACTAAGTTGTGGGCATTCCTGCCTGTTTCCATTTTGCTCGTTTCCTGTAGGTGGATCCCAAAGGCGTGTTTATTCTCCCTCCGAACGGGGTGCAGGACCTGCATATCGGCGTGAGGCCTCAGAAAGCTGGCAGCAGATTTGTTTACCTCAATCTGGTGGATGTGGAGTACCACCAGCTTGTTTCGTCCTGGCTGGTGTGCGTCTCCTGCCGACAGCCTGTCATTTCCAAGGTACCTGGGTTGCACCCATATAACAACATTCCAGGCAGGTCACTCTGTCTGTGTGTCACTCGTAAGCCTAGAATGTCTGTTGAGTCAGTGTGAAGTGATGGAAACAGCTACAAGCATGGCTGAGAGCTCTTTTTGTTTAGAATGTCACCAGATTCAGTCATCACTGGGATTCATGGTCTGTTACCATCAAATTTTTAAGTTCTCAGCCATGTTGACTCTACAAATTACCCTGTGCGACAGCATGGGCTGTTAGCTGCTAGTTAAATCTTATTTGCCAAAGATGGAACTGCCCTGTGTGCAAAGTGAGCGGACTAGTTTTACCGGAACGGTCACTACCATCCATAGCTATCTATTTACTGTCTATCTCTGTCACCCATCACCATAGCCTTTAGCCACCACTTCTCGTCAGAAATCAGTTCCTTGCATTGAGTATGAAAATCTTCCAAATCATCCATTGTACAGGAAGGACAAGACTATTGTCCCGTGTTGTTAGAACTCCAGAATGTGTGTAGAACATTTTGATTTTTTAAAATTATTCTTTGGACAGTGTTTTTCTTTCTTTGCAGTCTTTTCAACCTTGAAAGACTCTTCCCTTCACCAGGAATAGATTATAGGATCATAAAACTGATTCCTAAACATCTGGAACAGATAGTGACAAAACCACTTTATTCTTTGAATTAATCACCTTAAAGTAGTAATATTTTTAACAGCAACTAGCCCCAAAGTAACTGCCTTCACATGCCATATACAATCAAATTGCCATAGGAATTATAATAATAACTTTATATTACTTTGTCTGGACAGCTGCTTTAGATATGGTCCTGGGTAGAACCAGAGGAAGCACTAGTGGTTTTTCCCTTTGTACATAAATACTACCCCTTCTCCCGATTTTATGTATACAGGCCCCAGGTCAGGAAAGCACCGAAGCACAAATCCATGCCAATTCAGGAAAGCACGTGCTTAACTGCCACTGAAGTCAGTGGGACTTTATGCACACGTTTAAGTGCTTTCCAGAATCAGGGCTGTAGTGGCATGTGTGTCTATGGTAACAGCTGTGGGTAGCTCTTGTAGTCAGAATATATCAGAGGATTTAGAGAGAACCTGCTGTATGTTATGGGTTACATCGTGCTGGGCACTGTGACCTGGATCTAGGAGGCACTTAAGCATGTGCTTAACTTTCAGCCTGTGAACAGTCCCACTGAAAACCATCAGAAAATCATGTTCGGCCTCTGTTTTGAAGGTAGCTCCATCCGTAGAGCCCCCATTCTGAAAGTCAGGCACAGCAGGGGTATTTCCTATTAGCTCTGACTCCAGTCTGCTCTGGGATTTCAGGCCAAAGTAGTAAATTGGATTTCCCATTTAACTACTGTTCAGTTTTAAACGTTTCCCTGAAATACTCCATATTGGGGGAAGTTAAGCGCAACAGTACAGCACTGCTACACTTCCCTCGTAACGACAGAACCACTCCCGTATGCCGTGTGAGGGAATTAGCACCGTGGTTGTCCTAATGGAAATAAATTAGCTAACTAGCTGGCGAAGGAGCCTGGCTATGATCCCAGCTGAGTCCCTTTGTCATTCAGGCTAATAATCCCCTATATACGAAAGACTCACTGCAGAATTCAGGCTGAGGGAGCTGCCTGGGAGCTGAGGGGAAAGCCGGGGGAGGTGAGGGAACTAATGTGTTCAGAGTAAGTGAAAGTTTCCCCCTTGCAAGGCTTATGCAGCACTTTAGCCTTCAATAAAGGGTTTCAAGTGGGCTCTCTCTGGCACACCCATTGGGAATAGCCTAACAAAGGATCCACTGAGGAAGAAAAGTTCCTCTGACCAGCACTAATGAACAGACACGAGGTATTGCAACCAGCACAGACAGCATCGCCATGGGGTGTGCAGTGGGGAGAGAGGGGGCTGATCGGGGTAGCCTGAAGACACCCCTTAAAGTTTCTGGTCAAAACATTTTGAAAGAGATTTTCAAAAACACTGAGTCTTGGCCTAATGAGAGTTCGACCACTGGCTTCAGTGGGAGCAGATTCAGGCCAGCCTTGAGTACTTTGGACCCACCTGCCTCTTGTTCCTATGAACACGGTCCTAGGAGATCTGAATCCACAGTTAGCCTTAGAACGATAGATGGTGCGGACTGGATAGCTCCTTTCGGATCTTCTAGTCTATATGCCTGGCAGCAAGAACAGAAGACGTCTCTGTTATTTCTTCCATAAATGGCCTGAACAGTATCTGAGATTGGGTCATAATCGCTTCGCTTCCATGTTCTAATAACTCTGTTCTAATAAGCTGGGTTCCATAAAGTAGTTCTTACTCTCTGCAAATGTACTGAACATTTTGGTAGTGACTCCAGAATAAAGGGAAATCCTGGGGGTGTTTACTACACTATATGGGAAACCATTGTGCTTTTACTCAGACTTGGCCTGTGTCAGAACTGAAATGACAACGCTGTGATTTCTTATATGTAACTACAGGCATTTGAAATAACACTCCCTGCCGGCGGAGGGAAAGGCTCCAACAAGCGGATCACATACACGAACCCATATCCCTCCAGGAGGATGTACTTCCTGCATACCAACCGAGCTGACCTGCTGCAGTTCAAGGAGGATTCCTTTGAGGTAGCAAACCAAACAGAGTGGCGGGAGAAGCTCAGATACCCTTGCAGTAGGCCTGCCTGTCTCTCTGGTTTTCAATCCTCAAAGGTTTTCCAAAGTTAATGATTTTCTCCAATGCCCAGTGGCTGCACCTATTGACTTCAGTAGGAGTTCTGGGAGGCGAACACGTTTGAAAATCACTCCAAGAATGTTTTTCTGCATGTCGTGGTCTGTTGTGGTCCATCATTTGGTTTTTACCATGAATCCTAGAATGCATGTTCCACTCACAGCGAAACGGCACCATTTGCTCAGGGAAATTGGAAATAGATGAGTAAGCTTCATGCGGTTTGAAAACTTCAGACTTCTTTTGTGCTCTGTAAGGGTTTGCTAGGGAAGGGGTGGTGCTGTGTGAACTCAGTGGGTTGGGATGTCTGACACAGGGACATGTTACGTCTTACTGTCGGGCACACCTCCCACGCCTGTTTTGTCAGCTGACAGACCCCTCTTGCAGCTTGGTGCCAAATGCACACGTGAGTGCTAGTGCGAGCCGTGTTGGCATAGGGAGAATGGAGATGTTTAGCGCTGTCATCTCACTCTTTTTGCAGATTGGAGGAGGGGAGATGTACACGATTGGCTTGCGGTTTGCACCGAGCCAGAGCACCGGGGAGGAGGAGATTCTGATTTATATCAATGATCACGAAGACAAGAATGAAGAAACCTTCTGTGTGAAGGTTGCCTATCAGTAAAGAGGAGGCTTTGCCGGAGGGTCAGTAGAATGATGTGTTCCTGGAGCATCTGTTGAAGCTTTCATCTTACTCCACCTACCAAGAGACAGAGTCCTGTTGTTATCCGCTTTAGAGACTTTTCCCTCCATAGATTTCCTGTTTCTGAATTTCCTCGACCATGTTTGTTTGTAGACAGAAAACCGATTGAGCTGCTCTGTGAACTTAGCCCACATGCTGGCAGGATGTTTCTCCTTCCTCTTTGCAGTTTGCCTCTATCTAATCAAGCCATGGCCAAGTCACTATGATTTATTGTCTGACTGAATTCTTGGCACACTAACATGACCTCCAGTGATGTAACAGCCATATTTGTTCTACTTAAAATGGTAAATTAATCCCTATATATTTATACCATATGCCACGGTCCAGACGATTGTCACTATTTCTGTTCTCCTTTGGTGGGCCGTGCGCTTGTTTGGATTTTTATTTTTTTAATTCTTTTTTTAACAGATTTTAAAAAGCTGCATTTCCAGAATATGTGTGTTTAAAGTATTTTGTTTTTTTAACTGAGTTTTGTACACAAAGATGACAATTTTATGGTACTTTACTCATTCCAGTTCATCTAAATTGTTGCACAGAACCCACGGAGTGCAGCATAGAGTTTTCTGTTCCAAGGCTTCTGTTTGCCAGTAGCTCCCCATTGCATGCTGGTGCAAGCATCTGGGTTGCCCTTCCTCTCGCTAATCCCTTTAAATGACAGATCAGAAGCTCTCCACAATCCAGCCCATCACCTGCATTTCTATGAACTGTCCCAGAGGCTAGAAAGGCTCAGCAGGTTCTGTGTGATTTCAAATCACTCCGTCAGCTCGGAGCTTGTGCATTGTTTGAATTGACAGAAGATAATCTCTTCTAAAGGTGAGTACTAGAGATGTCAAAATTGTCTGACACCGGAATTTCATTTAATCTATGAGCACACAGCATCCAAATTGGTATCGGTTTCAGGGTAGGGGACCCTTGCAGATCTAAGGCAAAGGCGGGAGCTGGAAAGCATGAATCAGGCGATACAGTACACATAGGAATAAAGAGATTAATTTTGGCCACAGGCCAAGGGATAGAATTGGGCTAACTCTGTTTAATATTAAAAATCAAGTCAAAGGGAGTCGACGGAGAGGGTTGAAAATGGAGAAGATCGCATCTAGGGCACTGGCTCAGCCGCAGGCGAGGGAGTGGTAGACGAGTGGGTGATGAATTTGCAGTGGCTTATGTGAAACGAGTGGGTAGTCTCCATCCATTTCCCAGTGCACAGATACAGCCTCACAGGTAGACCCCTTGCTGACAATCTCAGCAGGGAGGCCATGAGGAGGAACTGCCTTTTCACCTGCTGGGATTGTCCCGTCAGAACACTCAGGCACATGACGGGGCAGTATCTGGGGAGATTGTGAAGATCATGCACACCTCTGTGTTATAGGTTGCTCCTCTCCAATATTGTATTGCCTTTTGCCTCTGTAGTCTATGCCAACAATTCATGCTCCCTCATCCCCATTGGTCAACATAGCATCAGGCAAGGTGCCACACTTGGCCTAAGGCCATATCTCCCCGCCATATACCATACCTAACCTAGGCCTTATTCTCTCCTTAGGGCTCGTCTTCATGTACAGCGCTACAACGGCGCAGCTGCTCTGGTGCAGGTATGCTGCGGTAGCGCTGTAGTGAAGATGCTCCTATGCTGAAAGGAGAGCTTCTCTCATCAGCGCAGTTAATCCACCTCCCCGAGAGGTGGTAGCTATGGCTGTGGAAGAAGCTCTCCTGTCACCATAGCGATGTCTACATGGGGGGTTAGGTCGGTGTAACTACATCGCTCACGGGTGTGGATTTTTCATATCTCTGAGCAACGTCGTTATACCGATTAGGTCTGTAGTATTGACCTGGCTTCAGTTAGACCGGCGTGAATCAGGAGTAGCCCTGGTGAACTCACTAGAGTTACTTGCCATGAGAGCAGGTTCAAGGCTCTAGATTATATGCTGTTTGATAGGGACTGTCTCTTGACCTTTTGATGGGGCACCTTGCGCATTTATGGGGCCTCATACTAACAAATCACAAGATCTTTGGGGCTGGGCTCTGTTTGATGTCTTCTACCTACCTTATAGGGCCATGGCCACGTACAGCAGGAGATGGTATCTCAGTGCGGTATGGGAATTGGTGGTGTGTAAATACCCGATGCAGATAAATAATTTTGGGGCAGGGACTGTGTTTGTAGAGTGCTGGGCATAGTGGAGTGCAGTTCCATGACTGGGGCTCCTGGGGGCTCCCCCAGTACCAATAACAACAAATAATAATGTAGTGGAGCATGACCCTAGAGCAAAGGGCCTGGGGAGAGGTGTGCTGCAATCTCAGGAAAACCACTGGGAAGAGGAAGGAACAAAGTTCTCTTCTATATTTTTAGGTCTCCACCATGTTTTATGGCTTCAGTTTGAAACCAGCCGTGTAACCAAGCACTGAGAAACCACAGTGTACGTGTAAAGCAGGCTTCAGGGGGCGCTCTTGCCAGCAGTGAGCCGGCCGCAGAGTTAGTCCTCTGCAGAGGGCACCGAAACGGGAACAGGGAAAGTACAAAGCAGATTGCATCGAAAGGCGGGTGGGCAAGGCCGGCTGGGCAGATCAGGCTCCGAATCCCATTTCTCTGGGTGCCAGGGCAGAAATAGCAACCTCGCAAGTCTCAGCTCGCAAGGGGGTCTGAGGAAGGCGTTGCCTTGAGGGAGGGTGTGGAGGGGGAAAGGGCCTTTGACTGACTGGAGGCGGGGAGCTGGTGCCGAATCCTTTTTGGACTGACAAGGAGCCAGGTGAGCCTGTGGCACTGTCCTAATCACTGGCGCCATGTTACAGCACAAAAGAGTCATTCGTGCAGGGCATGTCTCACCCTTACTTTCCATCAACCTTCCCCCCCTGCCCAAGCCAAAGTGGGGCATGGGAAAGACTGAGTATCCAGCATCAGACACACCCAAAGGGCAAGAACAGGGATTGTGTTCTCTTGTTTTCTCCATGCTTGTGCTTGGCTGAATCTCGTATGTTCTAACAGGAGCATTTTCCACAAGACGTAAGTCTCAGCTTTGCTTTGGGATCTGACAACCTTCCCTGCACTTGGTAAAGTCATTGGGCCTGGTGGGGAACACGCGTGGCATAAAATAAGCACATGCAATGTTAATGGAGCACACAGTAAGTGGATTAAGAACTGGCTAACTGATAGACTTCAAAACGTAGACTAACCTAGGCCCATTCAATTAAAATGTATTTGAATACAGCCAAGTGCAAAGTTACACACCTAGAACAAGGCCACACCTATAGGTTGGGGACTGTATCCTGGAAAGCAGTTACTCCAAAAGGGCTTTAGGGCTCATTGCAGACAAACCACTGAACCCGAGCTCCCAGTACGAGGCTTTGGCACAAGGGCTAACGTGATCCTTGAATGTATGAACAGGAGGATAGCAAGCAGGAGCCGGAAGGCGATACAGCAGTATTGCGACTGGAATGCTGAGCCCCGTTCTGGTGTCCACATTGTAAAAAAGATGTTGAAAAATTGGAGAGGGTGCAGTGAAGAGCTACAAAAATGATTCGAGGGCTGGAGAAAGTCCTTACCGTTAGAGAGCTCGATCTGTTTAACATCTAAAAAGAAAATGGAGAGGTGATGTGATAACTGGGTATTAATACCATTGGAACAAGTACCAAGAGAAGTGGTAAATAAACAGGCACATCTCTTGATGTCTCCAAATAAAGACTGGATGCCTTTCTGGAAGATTTGCTTTAGTCAAACACAAATTATTGGGTTCAATACAGGGGTAACTGGGCAAAATTGAATCCCATGATATACAGGCAGCCAAACTAGATGATTTAATGGGTCTCTTCTGGCATTAAACTCTGTGAATCTACTGTTGAAGAAGCTGCTGTTGCAGGTCTCATCACTGTTCTTCACATTATCAGCCATCTTTAGTAGGAAACCAGACAAAATACTCTTAACTGTTTCCAGTAGGGCAGTGCTGGCTGGTATTGTGATAAAACCTGCACAGATATGATCATCTATTCTTATTGTCAATGGAAATTAATTGGGAATGAATGCCTAGTTGCCAGGAGATACTGCACTGTGACAACGCTGTGTGAATGCTGCATGCAGACAGCACAGTGGGGAAAAAAATGAAGGACAAACCAAATACAGAACTGTGAAGGACAGACAGTGTATAGAAAAAACACATGCAGAGGTTTTCAACAACCCATTTTGAGCAGAAGATCTGAATTCTCTTTGCATTAGGTCTAATTCATTTTGGAGGACTGTCCAAGCAGGGCTGCGAAAAAGATCCCGCATTACTTTTAGCAGGATTTAAACAAAAACAAACAAACAAATAAATTATATTTGTATAGGCCACAGTGGATGAAAATCTGGTTGCTGTTTCCATTTGGGATCATAGTTGATGATTATTTCTGTGAAAAATTATGAAAAGTTTTTGCAAAATTTGTCTGCATTTTCCCAATCAGCTCTAGATGTGGATTATTGTGTGTTAATGGGTAATACTGAGTAGACTTCAAACCAGCATCCTCATTTCTGGAAAGTTTTAGATAAATTTTCAAGCATGCGGGAAGAGCTTTTTGTTAGATCTGCTGTGCTTTCTGTTTTTGTACAGCTTAAAAATACACCGCAAACATTCTTCCTTGTAGATTTCTGGTCCAGGACAATAATACTTTGTAAAGCACTTTTAGATCTTCAAATGCAAGGCATATGGAATTGCAAACATTCAGCCCTATAATCCACTGTGTTATAGGTCAGTATTACTGCCTCCATTTTTACAGGGAAACTGAGGCAACGGTTCTGCAGTGCAGAGCTTCTGTACTTTCTGCAATACAGTGTGATAAGAAAGTTGAGAATTTGCACAGATCTGAACACCTGCAACGTCTGTAGAGGACACTAATATCTAAAAACCTGTCAGAGCTGGTCCTGAAATACTTCACCAGAACAGCAGCATTTGGGAACATTCTGTATGCAGCACCAACATTTTTCACCCTAATCCTCCCCCATGGATAGATGGGTAAGCTAAGCACTTTGCCTCCTATTACCTTAATTGCTTCCAAACCTGTCAGCCTGTAATTTTCAAACTTCTATATTTTCACCCCCACAGAAACCCCTTTGGCAGTTCTACCTGTTACGCACACTCCACAATGGATTTGATTAAGCTTGCTCATTGATATGTTTCACTGTACAATACTGAACAGCGCTAATTTGCTGCCTTGATTGGCCTCATGAAAAGCAAATCCCTTATCTTTTTGGCTTTCTGGGCTCCTCTTGCTAGAAATCCAGATTGCCAAGCACGTCTTAACTACGCACATCTCTCTTTTCGGAGGCTGTAGTGTCATAAACAGTGATGTCAGGTTTTGTTTTGGACCTCAAGGGTTCACAGCAGCAAACTCCTTGGATCCGTTCTGTCGGCCCAGAAAAGCAAGCTGCCTCTTACATGAGATAACATAGTCCCAGCCCAATGAGCTATGTTATA